ATCATTGTCTGAATTAATATAGGCATTGTCCATGACTACTGTAGGTACTTAGTAACTTTTTGTTCGCATTATTCCACAACAACTTGGGCTAAATTGTTATAATAATAATAATAATAATAATAATAATAATAATAATAATAATAACAATAATATAATAATAAGTAAAATCTTACCTAAATCAATGTCATTGTGGATTTGACTTTGGCAAGTTCAACTGTATACTATTATCAATTATTAATTTTATTTAATTTCTCTTTTCATTATATTAATGTTACTGTTATAATAAATGCATCTTAATAAATTCTGTTAATATTTTTAGAATTATTATAGTATTCCATTATGAATAATGTTTATTATTTACTAATATTATTATTATTCCAACAGGAAGTTCTATCACAGGTAATGGTGAAGAATCTAGACACAGGTGAGCAGGTATCTCTACTGCAGGCGGAGGATAAGCTGCCTGCTTGTGTCAACCCACTGTCACTACACATCATGCGGCTGACCTCGGAGTACGTCAGGTGCGTTTACCCTTCATCATTTGATGATCTCTTGTCTATCTTGAGCTAAATGGAGGTTATGTAGAGTATTTTCCTTATGAGTTGAGCGTTTAATCCAAGAGATATTGTTCTTCAGTCTTGTATTCAAGAAGCAGTTTGATTTCCCAACCTTGATGTCGGGGTTTTATCTGCATTGCTTCTCTCCACCCAGGAGTATAAATGGGTACCTGGTGGGGTTGCCTGCTCCTGCGCTGATTACCAGCAGCAACACTTAGCATGTGGACCCAATGACCAGGGAAAGGAACTGCGCTTTATAACCGCAAAGAAGAGGCGCATTATAAATGCCCGTACCAGTACCAGTCTCACGTTCAAATCTGGCCAGCATCAGATTTTAATTAGCGTCGCTGAGCTCCTCGATTAGCCCTCGCATTAGAGTAAGTTAGGATAAGGGACAATGTATCTGTTCCATGTTGGTACTGGCGTTGTACTGCGGCTGCCGTGGGCCCCTAGGGGATTATCTGAAATTTCCAATTTCAAATATTTGGAACTGGATAAAAATCCATATGCTGCCCCTAAACTATGGAATTCTCTAATGATTGAAATCAGAAAAGCAAGTAGTGTTGATGTTTAAAACAGTTTTTATTATTGCTTTTAATTGATACTTTTACTATCTTTTTGCCGATCTGATTACTGTGAATTTTAGCGTGTGATATTTCTTGCCAATTTGAAATTTATTGTTTAACCTTTATTACGATGCAATATAATTTACTTTCAATAATATGCTGTTAGAATTTTAGCTTCCCTTAATCTTAGCTTCCCATAATTATAACTTTCTCTTATATTTTAAAATTGCATTCCTGCCAATTTTATTGTAATGTGCAATTTAACATATTTTAATGAAACTTGCACAATAGAAATGAATAAATTATTTTTATTATAGTTATTATAATTGTTTTATTATTATTATTATTATTATTATTATTATTGCTGTTTGTCTATCTGTCTGTCAGCAGGATTATGCTACAACTAATAAATTGATCATCCTAAAATTGATTGGTACTATAAGGAAGATGGTGAGCACTTATGTACTACTCCAATAATGCCAATAATTCACTGTATGTACAATTAATTTTAAACAGTAACGGAAGCTTAGACAAGATGGATGCCAGTGATTCAGAACAGAAAAAGGAGGACTCCCCTGTTGCACAACTCAAATTGAAATCGTAAGTATTTTTTACATCTGATTCACTGCAAACAGCTGACTGAAAAAAATTCCAAGCACCAAATGTTATCTTTAATTATCTGGAGAAAGTGAAAAAAAATTGTCTAAAAAGGTCTTCAAGGGGATGTAGGGGCAGATATAGGGAGTGGGAATGTCTCCCCCCCCCCCTTTTCGGTTTTGCTACTTTTCTTTTATTTTTTAACAGAAAAAAATACATAATGGCGTACAAATACTGAATGTTACAATGTTTCGTAACAGCATATACTGTCAGTGAATTCTACCATTATTATATATTATATTGTACAGGAATATATTATATTGGATACATTTGTCTGTATAATTATATTACATCTATGCCTATATAAAGTTGGTTCCCTCTACTTTAAAAAATTCTGGATCCGCCCCTCTATGCGCATCGCCCCCTGACCACCAGTCGCTTGGATATACAGTACACTTTTTCTAGCACTATAGTTAAGTTCGCTGAAGTGGTAGTAGCCGCTGCATTGTGCTGGACCAAATGGCTAACCTTTGGTTTCTGGTCCAAATCCATCATTGCTTTTGTAGTTAAAAAGCTGAAATGGATGTGATTTAAATAGAAAGCTGTGTTTCGGATGGCTGTAGAACACTGTGGTAATGACTTGTTTATACACAGTTCCAACTGTTTATTTATTTATTTCAACAATGTTTTGTGAGGGTGGTTCATCCAGTGAAGCCGATCATTTTAGTTATGGTGTTGATACAAGTGACTAGCAAATTAATTAGGACTATAAATATATTTACCGAAGGTACTATTCTGCCTTGAAGTACCCTTAAATAAACCCCCTTTGCTTTGTGAATTAGGAATAGGTTAAAAAAGTTTACAAAGAAGATGGTACAGAAGGCAAAGACGGTTGCAGGAGATGCATTTAAACATGAAGAACAGGCTTCCAGTGATGATGAATCGTTACCGGATACCAAGAGTGTCAAGGTGAGACAAACAAGAGGATGATGGTGGTGATGGTGGTGATGATGAGGATTGAGATAATGAAATATGATAGTTTTAATAATAGTGATGATGTTGATAATAATGTTGATGATTTAGATTGAGATTTTGATAATAGAAATAAAGTTTCTGTTTTCACACACTTTGATTGATTACAGTTCCGTGTATCATCCAGCCACAAAGGACCGTATGATTTTGACCAGCTGAAACTGGCGCAGGAACTTGGTAGTGATACTGGCGCCATCTGGACCATGAAATTCTCATTATGCGGCCGCTTATTGGTAAGATTCAAACCGGGCTTAATTTTTATTCCTTGTGTAGATTTGATGGACTTATTTATATACTGCAGAGGGCATATGTGAAAATTATAAGGAATTTGAAAATGTGGCTGGGAACAAGTTCTTTTGGGTTACGCATCAACTTCAGTTAAATATCTTGGTGCTTAAGATGGTTGCCTTCCAATCCCAGGGTCCTGGGCTCAATTCCTGTCATGGTAACAGGATTTTTTCACTCACTCCCTTACTCACTCACTCACTCACTCACTCCCTTACTCACTCCCTAAGCCTCATAATGAGAATTAAGCCACAATCGCACTGGACTTTTTTTGGTGAAACTAACCAACACGTTGGCTAGTTTTACCATAATTAGTCCAGTGCGAACAGCACAGGAAGTTTACCTGACAGGAAACTTACCCAAGCCGCGCGGTTAATTTAACCGAGTCCCGCTTGCCCAGGAAAACTGACCTGGTTAGTTTTACCTAGCAGGAAAGTCCAATGCGAACAGCGCGAGTCGGGTAAACTTCCCAAGTCATCACAGTGAATGACCTTCCTCAGGCTGTCAGGCAATTACGCATGAGCTGTGACCTGGAATAAAACGTCACACACAAACATCTTGATTAATTTCGCGCGTGTTTGCTAGTGTCTAGATTTTGAGTAATTTTGTCATTTTTTTCACTTGTTTACTCGGTTTGTTTCAATGGCCGATTTATATGGAGCATTAATAAATGTGCTAGGTCTTGGTGAGACAATCCATCGCGATTATCAACAAATACAACATGATGTGGGCCTAGTCCAAAGAAACACTGTCACAACAAGAAAGAGAACCCGGCGGTTTAGCTTGTTACGATCTGTCGTACGTGAGCGTCAACGTAGGCAATCTGAGGCAATCTTGAATATAGCAGTTCTAATTACTGGGCCAACGTCACGATTTAGCGCCCCCAATAGTTGAATCTGTACGAATGGTTAGTTTCACCATGGCCTGTGGTAAAACTAACCACGTCGATAAATCCCAGTGCGAACGACAGGAAGTTTACCCATTGGAATGTTACCCACAATCTCGGTAAAAATGTCCCTATTTTAAATCCAGTGCGATTGCGGCTATAGTTTATGTAGAGCATCTTGTGTTTATGTTGGTCTTGTGAAGGGATATGCCTCTTAGAAAAGTGATTAAGTTTGCTGTTTGGCATATCATTAATCTTGGGCATAAAACAATTAATACAAAAATAAAATAATTATTTAATGGTCTGAGCTTTTAAAGGAATTAACAGAGCTATGCTCACACCACTTATAAAGAAATATGAACAAAACATAGAGGGGTGACAAGGAATGTTTCAAATGCTATAACTTGTTGTTTTATGGAAAATTCTAGGCCACTGCTGGACAAAATCATCTACTCAAAGTATGGGTTCTTAAAAACCATGAGCAATACTTTGGTGACATGAGACAAAAGTACAACACAGAGACACGAGCCTCACCAACACCATCCCAAGAAAGCATATTGGATGCCATTGAGAAGGAATCCGTCTCGAGCTCCGGAGGGGGAGATGGTAACGACGAGGAGGATAGTGATCAGCTTGCTGTGTTTGCAAAAGCGCCATTTTGTGTTTATACCGGACACACAGCTGATGTTCTTGATGTGTCCTGGTCAAAGGTCAGTGTCCAAATTTAATAATTGTAATGCACTTGTATAGTGCTCCCTTACTTATCTTGGTGTAGCAAGGCTTAGCAATTCTAATACCTGATTCTCACAAGATAAAATGCTATACATGTCCCGGGCCAGAACAAATTTAGTGTGAATGCGCATCTTTAAAAGATTAGCATATGTCCCGTGTAATAGTAAATTGCATGGGACACACAGGTCAGAGATTAGCCCAATCAAAGGAAGTAAGTAATATTCATATCTTTATACTCTTTTTTTTCCTAGAATTATTTTATGTTATCATCCTCCATGGACAAGACAGTTCGTTTGTGGCATATCTCACGTAGCGAGTGCCTTTGTTGTTTTCAGCATATTGACTTTGTTACTGCCATCGCATTCCATCCGAGGGTGAGTGTCAGATTTTATTATGGTTTTAATGATAATAATAATATTAATAATAATAATAATAATAATAATAAGATTTATAAAGCGCAAAAATCCACTGCAGTAGTGCTCAAGGCGCTACAGGAGGAAGAAACCAAAAATTACCATGAACTTTAATGCTGCAAGAAAAGAAACACCACACCATCACCGCACCGTTTACAGGCAATTTAAGGCACAGTGGCCCGCCTATTCATTACTCACAGGTGTTCAAGTAATGGGAGTATCTAACTAAAACAATTAAGCAAGCAAGCAAAACAAACCAGAAAAAAGCAGCCGATAACAGGTGCGTCCTAAGAGCTTTTTTGAATAAAGCAGTAGACTGACACAAGCAAATATTTATTGGCAGTTTATTCCAAAGTGTGGAGCCGCAACAGCAAATGATCGATCACCCCATAAACGTGTAGACCTAGGCTCAACAAGCAGAAGTTTGTCAGTACCAGAGCGGAGAGTTCTTGGCATTTCTTCCTTTGTTGAGGTGAACCGAAGATGATGAATTCAGTCTTGTCCTCATTTAGTTGCAGAAAGTTTTCGGACATCCAGGTCTTCAACTCAAAAATACAATTTTTGAAAGTTTCTACCTTTACATCAACTTCCATGGAAGGTTTGAAAGAAAAATAAATCTGTGTATCATCAGCATAAATATGGTAAGACAAGTTGAACTTTGATACAATTTCACGAATTGGTAGCATGTAGATTGTGAACCACTGAGGTCCCAAAATTGACAATTGAGGAACGGAATAGTCAAGAATAAAAAAGTCTGACATGGAGTTCCAACACAAACTCTTTGTGGATGACAAGAAATATAGGGGGAGCACCAGCTTAGAGTGTCGCCTTCTAGACCTAAATAATGCTTGAGGCGATCCAATAGTAAAGTGTGATCAACGGTATCAAATGCAGTGCTAAGATCCAATAAAATTAGTGCAGTGAGTCATCCATTTCTTGGAGAATATTATTAGAGACACAAAGTAGTGCAGTCTCAACGCTGTGGTGTGGCCGGTATGCGGACTGAAAAGGATCAAGTAAATTGCATGCATTAATATGATGAACAAGACGTCTGGAAACTGAGCGTTCAATCGTTCTTGCAAGGAACTGCAAGTTTGGTACTGGTCTTTAATTTTTTAACTCCTCATGATCTAAGCTAGGCTTCTTAATTAGAGGTCTGATATGGCAAATCTTCAAAGCATCGGGAAAATGCCCCTCTTCAAGACTTCTATTTACAATTTATGTGATAGATGGTAAAACAACATGAAGACCATCTTTAACAGAGTAATTCGTTTGGGATAAGGTCTGATGATGATTTGCATGGTGAACTGCTAATAATTGATCTAATTTCATCTTCATCAGCAAGCGTCAATTCCAACAAAGGGAGTCTATCTGCAGCAGTGTCAACTGATCCTAAAGCACCTTCATGTGGGTTGTCATTAACAGTCAAAGCATCACGGATAGTTTGAATCTTATTGACAAAGAAGTCAGCAAAACTGACAGCAAGAGCTTTATCGGAATCATGGGTTGGCAATACAGGTGTAGTTCTTTACTGCATTAGCTCATTAAGAACTCCAAAGAGCTTCTTTTGATCCCCACTAATGTCTGCAATCTTTAATAGAATAGTAAGCAGCCTTCCCCTCTTCAATCAAAGTGTTAACGACACGCTTTGCCTACAGTAGATTTCTCTGTCGATACTAAATCGACTATGGATCCATTTACGTTCAAGCTGACGACGTCTTTTCCATTCAGTTCTCAATTCCTGAGAAAACCATGGACTACTGGACCGGAGTTCAATCTTCTTAGTCTTACAAGGTAGGGGTGGCGCTGGGGGGCTATAGCATACCCCCCCGTCGGGGAAGACGATAAGTTTTGTCGGGGAACAAACAAATAAAAAAAAATATTTACATGTAATATTCGTTTAGCCACCATATCGTTTGTGTTAACTTTTCATCACAACAACCACAATAATAATAATAATAATAATAATAATAATAATAA